CACCCCCGCGGCGCTGGCGGCTCCCTCCCGCCGGGACGCGGCGCCCCTCGCGCTCCCGGCCGGTGGAGGCCGCCCCCGGCGACTCCCGCCCCGGCGCATACCAGGAATAGCTGGGGACAATCGCACCTTTCAGGGCCGGCCCCGCCGCCCCGGCCTCCGCCACCTGCTGCCCCGCCCGGCCGGGACTGCCCAGCGCGCCGCCGCCTCCCTCCCTCCCTCCGGCGGGGCCGCGGGAGCCGGGTCGCCTCCCTCTGCTCCGCACCGGTGGGGCTTCCCCGGCCAGCCACGGGCAGCGCCGCGATCCCGGGGAAGAGGCTCCGCACTCTGCAGCGTTGTCCCGTTTGTGGACGAAGTTAGGAGCCTTTTCCACAGCTACGGGAGACCCACACGTTGTTTTGGGCGCTTTTCGTACAAAGTGACCGAGCCGGAGGTGCCCTGGCTGAGCTGGAGCCACACGGCCCCGTTGGCTTCGACTCTGGTTTAGCTCTCGCCACCCGACTAGTGCCCATTGCTTTGGCTCATTCGTGTCCCTGTCGCCGGCTCACTGCAATAGATTTTTTTGCGATTCCTCCACTTCACACGCTATTCCAGGCTCAGAGCTAAAGCCCAGCCTCAGTTAGGCTCGACCGTGGACCTGAGTGGGAGCTGCGCTGAGCTCTGCCCCCTGCGGTGACCACAAACCAGGATCACGCCTGGATCAATGTGAGGCAGGTTGGGATCACGCTGTGCTGCAGCAAAGGGTCATTCACCCTGACCGAAGCACGGGAGCCAGGAAGGAGATGGACTGCTGGCTGATCACAGTGAAATCCTTTCTTCCAATACAGGGATGGAAAAGTGAAGTACCAGGGAAAAGAGCCATTTTCTGCAGTACTAATCCACAACATTAGGTTGTTGTGTTTTGGCTTTGGTTTGTTTGGGACTTTTGGAGTACTAGATTTCATTTTGACATTTTATTTAAACTCTCTACTCCTACCTGAAAGGAGGCTGTATCGAGGTGGAGCTCGATCTCTTTTCCCAGGTAATAAGCAACAGAAGGAGAGCAAATGGCCTCAAGTTGCACCAGGGGAAGTTTAGATTGCATATAAAGATAAATTTCTTCAATGCAAGCATGGTCAGCATTGACACAAGCTGCCCACCATCCCTGGAAGTGTTCAAAATGCGTGGATGTGGCACTTGGTTTAGTGGTGAATATGGCAATGTTAGTTAACGTTGTGCTCAATGATCTTAGAGGTCTTTTCTAACCTTTATGATTCTATCTTTTCCTACTTGAACTTTTTGTAGTATTTTTTTTCTTTCCATGTCTTCTCTGTAAGTAAAACTGAGTTACTGCACACATCTTTTGCTTTTATAGCCCATGGCAGAACATACGTAATTTCAAAGGACTAGTGAGAAAAGATAATTTAAAACTTGCACTACACACAAATTCACTTCTCCTGAGATGTTTACTTGGGAACACATCTTCTGTTTTACAAAAAACCTTCTTAGAACGGGGAAGAAGAATTTTAGGAGATCAACAAGTCAAGAAGCTATGAGCCATCAGTTTCGGTAGTGTATGGAAATCAGTGTTGCTGGTGTTACACACAGGAGTGAAAATGCAGTGACTCTGGCTGAAGTAAGTTCCACGGGAGATGCTTGTCATTTATTAAAGTTACAAATGCATGGAAGTTATGCAGTTAGCTCCTCACCATGGTATGATTTGAGACATCTATGCTATAGAGCCAGCAAGGAGTAATACGACAACCAAAGCTGTAATTTTGAGGGGATTTTTCTTACCCTTTTTTCCTGTTCCAAGCCAGATCAGCCACAAGACTAAATACAAATGAAGAATCTGCATTTTTCTTGAATGAGAAGCCTGAACATCAGAAAACAACCCTCTCATCTCACTATTTAACATCCATGATTACAAAGGTTAAAAATGTCTAAATAAAACATGTATCAGCTGCCTCTGCTGGCTGCCATGAGTTTGCATTACCTGAGGTTACCAAACATTTTTCTGGAGAACTAACTACAGCAGCCTTTCTCCAGTTTCTAAGGTCTTTCACTTAATCTAAGAATACAGTGCTTGTGCCTAAGAAGGAGAAAGTAACTAAGAATTCTATAAAACAGGCTTCAAAAGAGGTCATGTTTCTCACATATTTCTGGTTGCTTAATATCGCTTCATAAGAAATCACTTTTCTTATAAATGAAGCATTTAATATTTTAGATCAAGTAATTCAAGTAATTTGAGTAATCATGTCATTTGATTAAGTATTTAAGTAGACTGCATGGATCACAGCAACTTTCAAGTCAAAGTTCCTCACTAAGGGAAAAAAGTTCCAACATGTAAATCTCATTCTCAAAGTGAATTTTAAATCAACTGTCACAGATAAATTATCTATGTAAGCCTGAGCGACCAAAATAGTTTTATTATTCCTTTGCACTAACAATGTAAGTCACCAGAGTCCTAGATCAGAGAAAGATTACATATACGAGATATGACTGCTAATTGTTGCTGTCAAAAGTAGCAAACGTAATATTGTTCTACTTGACAAAAATAAACCCTTTCAATGTGTGTGCTCCTAGGGATAAGTCAAGCAACAGTTTACGTCATGTTCTTTTCAAGGAGAGTTCTACAAATATTTGACACAATAATATTTTCTACCAAGGCAGGCTTCTTTCTTTAAGGAAAGAACATATTTATTTTGTAAATGTGGGCTGTTAAGTGTCTTTATTTTCCAAAACATACATTTCAATGTCAGAAAACAACTTTCTTCTTCTTCCCTTAACTGAATCATGCAGCCACAATTGAAAGTAAAGGGCATTGTACTGGTTATTCTATTATGATTTCTTAACAAAATGTATGTAAATAACATAGGAAAACTTGCACCAATATACTTAAAAGAGCTTGAACAATCCTGAGTACTGAATAGTACACCAGCTCCACTCAGCTACAATTAATGTAAGCGCAGAGCATGCATCATCTCCTTACTCCTACACACCATTTCCATAAGATGGTGTGTACAGCTAGCCCAGACTGCAGAGGCTGAAGAGGGATTTCCTGGTACTGCATGCCCGTGGCCAAGCCATGCCCCTCCACACAAAGGTGTCGAGGTTCTGGCAGGGCTGCACAAGTTAGAAAATACAGTTTTACGTTCTCACAGAGCTTGAGCTAATAAGCAGAGATTGTACAGCTCAGTGATGATACAGACATTGGGGCATTGAAGAGCCAAAAGCACCATGGGGTCTGCAGGGTTTATCAGCCTCTAATCAGGACCTTGCTTGACTTTACAAGTCAGCCAAGTGTTCATACCTCACTTTTTTAATCATCCATGTTATACAGGTTCTGTCGATGACGGAGATATTCCAGCAGCTTATAGTTCCCTTTACCTCCTGTGGTCCTCGAGACAGTGCCAAAGCCTGTGCCAAAGCATGGTTGTACGAGCTCTGGAAGGCTGTTACACTGTCCATGCTGGGTGAGACGTATTTCTGCAGTGCAGTCTTCCTTCGGCATCTCACAGCAGTGTTCACTAAAATGTACCATCTTATATATTAATAAACCAGAAATTAATAAACCAGAAATTAATGCTGAAAATAAAAGAGAGAAACCTTACCCTGCAGAACAACTGATTCGAAGACTATGTAGATGTTAAACAAAATTACTATATTGCCAAAATACTAAGCATTCTTATTTGTAAGCTTTTACTTAAGATTCAAGATGTATTTTTCAGCGTGACCACAGAAAACCCCACCCCAAATTTACTATTCTAACCTTATTATCCTTTGTCCCAAATTTGTCTAAATCAGCCCTTGTACCCAACAAGGAGCTCCACTTCTGAAGGGATTTTGCAATTAACAGCTGTATAAAAACAGAGACACGCCATTTATTACTTAAACCCACTGAAATCTTCTGAACACTGAAAATCATATATGATGAGACCATTGCCCTAGAGCAGACAATTGATGTAGCTTATTTAACAGCCTTGAACTGCACTTCCTCTCTTTCCTCAACCCTTATCCCTATCCTAAAAGGGCCTTATCTATATTAACTATGGCTTACTTGAAAGGCAATCCTCCAAGTCACCATTATCTTAAAATATGCAATATCCCAATTGGGTGGTGACAACCTTTATTTGATTTTGCTGATATTAGCAAGAAGACAACACAGCTGGTTTGGTTACTAAAGCCTCTGATTTTTATTTAAAAGCAAGTTTCAGGGCTTTACTAATGAGCATGGCAACATAATGCAAATCTTAATGATACTGCATTTTATTGGGGTGAAAAAGCAAAAGCTCCAAAAATAGAAGCGCTCATTAGTGTCATTCTTCTCCTCTTTTCCAACCAGCTCACTTATAGAAAACAGACTGTTGTCGTTACTGGACTCTCCAGGTGACATGTTTTAGACAGACACTCCAACTTTTTCTTTAGAGTGCAAGAGATGTTCTTAAGTGATAAGACAGACTCCCAGGCCTCTTTCTTTTCAATAAAGAAGGAAAACCCTGCCAGAGTGCTTCTGGCGTAACCCCATTCATTTTTCCTGCAATGACAATTGATAGAGAATGAAAGCACCCTCTGGGACGTGGAGGATTCAGTTTCTTTGGCAGTGGGTTTGATTGGAAGCAAAACTAAATTATTCTACTTCAAAGGAGTGACTAAGGAATATTTTTCCTGAATGTCAAAAACATGCACATTAACCCAAACCAATCTTCACAAGAATCCTAAAGTGTTAAGATTGCTTAGCTAAAAAACAAAACCCAAAATCAAAACCAAACAAGTAAATCAAACTCAAAACAACCACAGTGTTACTAATCCAGGTACAGAAACTGGTCAACAGTACCTTAATATCAGTGGGTGAAGTGGGAGGGATGGCACAGGGGAAGGCTATCACATAGCATTCAGTAATGCTACCTGACACACTTACAATAGATATTCCTACAGGGGAAAAAAGTATACGACTATCATGTCTGCCTTAAAATCTCTAGTCTGTTTCTGTTGTTGCTAAACGAAACTTCATTACAACAATCATCATTTATCTATCATTTATTTCACTTAGGTGAGGTACTTCACACTGCTGTATTCACCTGTGTGTGCCCTCCACAGTTCCACCATTTGAATTATTTAATGTGCCTTTTTGGGGGAAAAAAATCCACATCATTTTTCCACATATACAAATAGCGAACACTGGTTTAACTAAAGTTTTTTGACAATTTATTAACATTGTTAGATTTGAGAAACAAAGTGAAGTTTTATTCAAAATGTAAACATTAAGATAATTTTAAAATGTTAGTGCTCACCAACAGTAAGAAAAGTCCTTTTTCTGCCTATTTTCATCCATATATTTATTTATAAATAATGCAATGAAAAAATGTTTTTGTCACTTGAGTCACCTGAAGAAGTTCTTATAATATTCTTGCACCATTATAAATAAAAGATGGGCACAGCCTCATACTCCAAGTTTTCAGCCATTACCATACCACATACTCCACTCAGAATGTTACGTGTGCATGACACAAATGATAATCCTGCTCTGAAATTGCTCATCATTATTACGAGGAAATCTCACAGACAGTAATTCCCAAAACTTTTAAGAGGATGGAAGGGAAAAAACCCACCACATAGAAATCTTGCACAAAATGCATGCCTTTATAGAAATACCCAAAATTGCTGTAGGAACAAGCAGCAAAATATAGCAAGGACAAATGCAGAGTTTATTCCACGTATACTACAATTAGTCAAGATGTTAGGGAAGTATCAAAATTTGTACTATTAACATATGGCAACAGTTTTATTCTTACAATACATTGCAATAGAGTTGCCTCACTGGAAAAGGCTTTTAAGCTGCAGACAGTGCAATTGCATTAAATCTTAATTCTTCTGGGTCACGTTCCATGAATTTCTTGCAAACTTCTATTGCATCCTAGGGGGAAAAAAGTACAAAATAAACCAAAATGAGAAACAGTAGAAATCATATTAAAAGAAACAAACAAAACACAACTGAAATGTGAAGATTGCTTTATCTAAAATGTGCTCAAAATGGATTTCTCCATAAAGGTTTACTAAATAGTGTGACAAACCTACATAAACTGTATTTCTGGTGTGCGTTACCATCACTCAAGATTACTTACAGTGCTCATATGGGCAGCTTAAAAGAGCAAAAGTTTTATGAAGGACCTTAGCAATGATGATTTTTGTGACTGAATATTACTCTGTGCAGCAGATGTGTTGCTTGTCTGACTCTAAATGAATCTCTGAAGTTTGCCTTAACTAGTACTGCTGCCTTCAGAATTCTTCCTTTGTTTCAAGATGAAGCTAAGATGGGTGGGGTAATTGAAAGATTTTAAGTAATTCCTTCATCTAGCTTTAGGGTGCAATCTGGAGAACACATGTTATCAGCAAAAACAGGAAAAAATCACATGCAGAATAAGGAAAGCTTTAACCAATTTCTTCCCCTGTCCAAGCAAGCACAAATTGTTTGCAAACTTTACAGATATTAGTCTATGCTTCTAAACTATAAAATCATTTTGTATTTTGTTTGTTTTAGTTTCTCTGGTTTCTTCCTTTTGTAATGCTAACCCAGTCTGGATATCATAAAACTCAGATCTATGCATTGCCTTCTCTCAACTTCAACTTTGCATCATTCTGTGGGTATAACAGTTTATCCTCCCAACACAGTGTATCCCTTTCCAACTAATTTCTCAGCTCATGACACAAATAAGCACCCAAAAGAAGCTATGAAAGTGGAGAGGAATGATTATCAGCAAGGGTCAGAAAGGAAAGCAACTTCTGTCTAGCAGGATACTTAGCAAACTATAAACCAAAGGAAAGATAATAAAAAATTTCAAGTTTTCAATCTGCTAACTTCTTGTTAGAGGTACTAATTGAAAGGAGCAGGAGTATATGAAAATCTAAGCACAGAATATAAGCCAGTCTGATCTTGTGTTATAGTCAACAATTCTGACATTTATGTTATGATATTCTGTCATCCAGAGCCACAAGTTAAGTGTTCCAAAGTATCTCTTTTCAAACCTAATTTTGCCTCACTATCCACTCGCTCTATTCCTCATTCAACTATAAATATAGCTAGACTTGTATAGGTATTTTCATTTATCTATTTTATAAACTATGTGGAGATACAGCAAGAATTTTGTATAACACCATTTAAGAAGGTTGTCTATCCCTACCTCTAAAAAAGAATCGTCGCTTGTTTCCCCATGGTTTATTGGAAATGGCTTGCGCCCATCTGTTGAAAGACAAAGTGGGATTGAATAACACATTTATGAAATTATAAAAGCTTCGTTTTTCCAGTTAAAACTATTTAAACAGATTTTTTGTACTTCCACTTTCAAAAATTCTATCTCATTTTTTCATTAAGTTCACACATGCAGCTCCTGATCTCTCCACTGCTGACTGCCTCAGTATCGTTATATACAGTCTGTTGCTTTTAAAAATAATCCTATCAAAACGATGAAATGTTTTTCAATATTTAATTTGAAAACTTCAAAGCTGTAAGTTGCTGTTGTTTTAGTGCTGCTATAGTACTTCAGTTTTTCAAGTAGAGTAGAAAAATTTCAGCTACACCTGATGGATTTACACAGACAGACAGCTGTATGTCTGTGGTGTTTGACAGCTGTGATCAGGGACTCCACAACAGACCAGAGTAGCAAACCCACCATTCTGAAGAGTCTGGCATCACTGAAAATGTTTCTGTCATTTTAAATAAATTAGCAAACAAACCCAACAGCTCTAAGTATTAAGTACTTTCACAACATTTAAACAGGGTCGCTATAGGGGTTTTTTAATAGGTTTTTTTTCCCTTGCATTTCCAAGAGAATAATGCTTGCCATTCTCAGTATTTAAAAAAATAATTTCATTCATATAAATATGCTTCAGGTTACTTGCAAAGAGTTAACAGTATGAAAACTTATGTCAGGGTATCCTAAGTATTTCCAAAATCAAAATCACTTTGGGCTCTGTCTTCCCTGTAAAAGGCTTTTCCCTCCCCAAAGATGCCACCAAAGTTGACAACACTTCCAAACTATATTTTCCATAACTAAAAATAGATTTGATGTTAGAAAACTTTTGGATTTATATGAACAAGATGTTATTCATTATTGTAACTACCATGACTGAAGATACAAGGCAAAACCCTCAGAAAGTGCCAGAGAAACAGAACTGAATACCCTGCACTGTTGCAAGATAAGTTTACCTTAATTTGGGGGCTTTTTCTATTTCCATATTGGCAGAACAACATTTTAATCTCATGTGCTTATAAATAATGTGTTTTCTATGACAAAAACATCATATATATTTAATATCCATGTGCTTCCCTTAGCATTTTCTCCATGCCAAAGCCCATATGCTGCCCACACTGTTTGAAGCCAGTGAATCAACTGAATAATCTTCTTCTTCCAATCAATTGGAAAACCTTCCCTTTTCCTACTTTTAAGTCGTTTTGGTTTTTTTTTTTCCCTTCCTTCCGCTGGTACAGAGAGGTTATTTTAAGAACAAAAGAAATAGTACTATTGACATTCCACTGTGCAGCAGAGCTAAATTCCTCTTCTCCTAATTTTTTATTTTAAGGAAAAATTCAAATGGAGTTTCTTGCACATCATACTGACAGAAAATAAGTAAACATCCTCATCATAGTATGTATGCATAAAAGCAGCATAAATTAATAGACAATGAAAATGTATCATCTATCATCATCAACCAAAAACAAGTGAAAGTCACCCCTTATGACTTGAAATTTAGAGCCATAAAATATTTATTGCACCCTACAGTACTTATCTTTTTTTTCTAGTCCACTGACAGATACACAGCATCATAAAATACAAAAATGTGTGCCTATTGGTTATGACTTATCCCTGCTAATACCCCTTAGATCATCTAAATATTAACATAAGCACTTCTTGTATATGCTTATATATAAGCCATGCTTATGCCCCATGTTGTGATTATTTATCACCTGTTAAGGGCATTGCTTAATTACATGCCGATTTTCAAAAGATGAAAATCTTATCACCATAAAATACTGCAAAAATTACGTTAGGAAAGATCAGCAACTAGCAATTTTTAAATGCTGATCTGGTTGCTGGATTTCTGAAGAGCCTGCTGGAAAACCTAGTTGCCCAGCAACGTATTTAAGATGGGAGTCATTAGAGAATATCTGAGCCAAACTAAGTGCTACACAATCTGAAGGGGAAAAATAGCTGTATTTCAAAAAATAAGGATTACTGTTGCATAGTTAACTGTCTATTGACCACAAATAGTAGAGGAAAAAATGACCAGACTATCACAATTGAGTTGGAGAATGTTAATATCTCTCAGTACCCTGACTACATACCTTGAGTTTAAACAGTATCACACAATAATATAGCTAACATTTTTGAAGTGGCACACAGTTAATTCAATACTTCCACAAGCAGTTCAGGAGCAGAAATATAACAAATGTCCTGTGAAATTTTGAGTGTGTATCCATTTTTCTTGCTTCCTGTCCTTATAAATGCCCATAGAAGTTTGGAGGCAATCTAGTATTCTGTACCATTTTATCTTAATAGGATGAAGTTGAGGGAAGGAGAACAAAAAAAGCTTCCAAAAAACTGAAACAAAACAAAAAACCCAACTACGAGAAGGCGGCTGCAGTTGTTTGAAAGAAATCCCCAGACCTCTAAGATGCAGCTGAAAAGAACCTAAGCCCTACATAACATCAAGAAATCGCTCTGAAACTTTGACAGTTAACAGCATCATTTCTTGCATTTGTTTCAAACTAATGGAGAGAGTGGACAAAAAAGTGTTCTTACCCAATTCATAGAGATGACCACCTACATTAACTAAAGCAATAAAGTGAAGATCTACTTTTTCATCTATACTTGGTGCCTGCAAGACAAAACAAGACAAAAGGAAATTGTGTTTACTAAAACTCTTATTGTTAAATGATTAATGAGCACGTATCACCATAATATGCAAAAACCTGGACAAAAGAAATTACAATTGGGAAGCACATTCTGGATCTATACAGAATGGCAGAAGTCAAGTGAGGAACACTTTAGAATATAAAGAAACTGTCTGCAATGCATATATCAGTAAGAATCCATGCAGCAAAGTATCTGGAAGTATGTCCAATTATAGCTTGACATAAAAACTCTATTTTTCATTACTGAATTAAAAGTAACATCAGCTCAAATACATAAACATCAAAACCAGATTTTAATATAAATAACAAATTCTTCACTAAACTATCTCCCATAACAAAGTGATGAAGGACTCAACTCTGAACCTGTAAAATTTTAGAACTGAAAATACTCACTTGGTCAAAATAATTTTTTCCTCATAAGCCAACCCCAGTTAACCAGTTTCCTCTTCACAGGCAGTCAAAATAAACACATCTTAGGTGGGAAGGATAATAACCAGAAGTGCCCAGGCTGAATTTTCAAAGTGGCATCATACTCATCATACTCAGTAAGGACTGAAGTTCAGTGACAGCACCAAGTGACATGACATAAAAAATGGTTACAGTTAGTAAAGATCTACCTAGCCCAGTACTGTGCTGGCAACTACAGTGAGCAGCAAAAGCTTTTGCAGAAGTTTGGGGGCATGCACAGCATGCTGCTCCACCAATACATGTTCCCAGCACTCACTAAGCAGTGGTCTTTGAACCTGTGAGCAGAAGATCTATCATCACTTCTGAGCCAAAAGCCAATGCCACTGTTGTGCTCAATAGCAATTGATGGCTTTAATTCCTTATCTGTCTAGTCTGTCCAGTCTGCATCTGAACTTTGATCCATAATTTAACATGATACTGTTTTGAGCAAATGGAAAAAGGACTTCAGATTTTCTTCACAATCAAGAATCCAACTTGTGTGAAAATGTATTTTATGTAATTCTCCTTCATCTTTTAATTACTGCTAGGCTTACATGAATTTTCTAAGACTCCAAAAATGTAAAAACTTGCTAGAAGCAGATTAGAGTATAAAATAAGTTGTAGAACCTCAAAGTCATATAATCTTTTAAAGACTGGGTTCAAAATTTCCTTTTTGATGATGGCCATGAGAAAAAACTTTAAAAGGTATGTGGCAAACAACCAGAACAAGAGTGAAGGAGAAGAAGTCACCACAAGTCCTTGAAATATATCAAGAAGGCCGAAGAATGCAGCACTGTGGAGGAACTGCCAACAGCTTACAGAAATCCTGTGTAGCAAGCTCAAAAATGAGAAAAAAAGAAAAATAAAACAAAAAACCACACAACTTCCCCTCATCTCACTCTCATTTAAGATTTATTTCCATGACCAGTTAAAAGTGTGAAAGGCACAAATACCCTGTTTCATTATTGTTTCAAAGAGCCTAGAATGGAGAATAGGCATTCTGGACACTGAAGATGAGGCATCTATCAAAGGGGCAAGAGGATCTTTCCACCGGAAATTCAAGCAGTCTAAGTGAAATGGCCTTTGACAATTTTGTTTCACAGAAGGCCAAACAGAGCCATGACTTAGCAAAACCAAACAGCCCTAAGAACTTGACTTACCCAGTTGCAAACTTCAAAGGACCATGGGTATCTATAAAACCACATATGATAGTAGGTAACATGCAATGGCATCTTGTTATTACTGCTTTTTATCACCCAACTATTTACAGATATCTAAACTGTAGTGCTACAAGAGTGTGCAGGTAGGCAAGGTTGAGCATGCTTGTCAAATCCCACACTGTCACCTAATTCCCTTCACAGACATATCACTTCACAGCTGTTCACTTATCAATTAAAAATATCGGCGAAGAAATCGGGGTTTAAGAAATTTCAAGATTAGGGGAAAGACCGTTGCCAGTTAGTGTTACTTTAGGAAGGAAGTGGCTTACAAATTTAAAGCCTACATCTGAACATACTCTACCTGGGCTCAAGGTGACATGAAGTAGAAGAGTACATCACTATTTCAGAGGATTTTGAGATGTTCAGGAGTCAATTTTGACCACATTTAGAAACAAGCTACAGTTGCCCTTTTGACCATTTTGGGTGTTATGTTCTTTGTCAAATTCTAATAAACACCCTTTCTCTAGAGAAACACTACTGGCATGCTTGGAATGCTGAGCCTATATATAGAAAGAAGATGAATAAGGAAGCCATCAAAAAAAGCATGATTGACTTTTCATAAAGTTTACTTAGAGACAGACTCCTATAGAATCCTGCTGAGTTTTTGTACATGACTAATCTAAATAACATGCTTTCATTGTGCTATTGCCATAAACCGTGAGAAATGCTGTGTTTTTCATGTTTAATTCCCCAACCTTGTAGAGAAGGAAAGTGCCATGCCACTATTAAGTTTTCTACCGTATGTTCTAATGTACGGAGTCCCCCTCCATTGAGATTTCTTTTCATCTAATTTAGATAGCAGTAAAGTTGATCTGCTACATTTCTTGAAAAATTAGGATTTCAATAATTTTTGACAGAAAAATATTTGCATACTCATAAGCACAGAGAAACAATAGGGTTTGAATGGTCATGATGACCTAAAACTTTTTATTATAAAAATCTGTTGCTTAAAACTTAAGGAAACAAGTAACTGGATTAATCTTTCCCAATGTGATGAATCTGATTCAAAATCCCTCCACCTCTCCCCTTCTTAAGGTAAAACCCCCACAATACTTACACCATTATCCCAATCTAAATGTTGGTATTCAATTTTCATGCATTTGAAATCCTTTGATCTTCAAATGTTGCTAAGTCAAGACAAAACTGTTTGTCAAATTTATGTGCAACTCGTTTCTTTTCCAAAAAGCCTCATTTCGGGGACGAACTTACTGGAGGGAAAAAAATGGCCTTGGTCTCATGGATCCACTGAAAAAATCTCACCACACCCTGCTTAAAATTTATCTATGAAAGACTACATTATAAAAGCAGATTCAGTGTTATATTATAGATTTCAGGCAATTTCTTCCAACTATATCTTGTATTTTTATTATTCCCTTACACTTGCTTTTGAAAGGAAGAAGCAAAGCAAGAAGCCTCACAAGCCAGCTTAGCAGAATGCTTTGTAATACAGGTAGTGACTGGGAAAGGAAAAAAACGCTACTTGGTGTTAAGTCAAGAAACTGGCATCAGGAGTCTGTCAAGTTATTGAAGAGTACTGAAAAGATAGGGAAAAGACAATTTTGCAGAACCTTCAGAAATTAAAAAATCAGATACATCGAATTGAAAGATCATAACAAAAGCAGCTACAGTTTTAAGAGAAGAAAAACCTCAGAGGTTTATCTGTATGAATTCGCTCATAAGGAATTACAAGAAGCCAAAGGAAAAACATCCAAAAAAGAAGAATACTAGTTATGGTATAGATTCAATAAATTCTAAAGAAAAAGGGAAAAAGTGATGCAATTGCTGTTGAGTAGGTCAGACGTCTGTAACTTCCGTTTTGCAGCATGGGATGTGCTTGGGCAAACATACTGTGAAGGATTGTGAAAAGCATTTGGGTCTCTGTTAAACTACTGTGACTAGAACAAAGACCATTGGAATGATGGTCACAAGTTTTTAGCATGACTATTTCTGGCTTTTTCTCACAAAATAGTGACATCTCTATTCATACCCAATATACTGCAGTGAGTTTGACACATAAAAGGCAGCAAAACCTAAGGCAAGCAGATACTAAAAGAATAGATGAGCTAGAAGAGAAAATAACAAGGACTGAGGGAAAGTCAACATTACTAAACAAGCATACTGTTAGCTTACCTTAAAAATTTGTCACATCTGTTTCAGGACAGTATTTTCAATTTTTTCTCTTTATATTATATGTTCTTAGCTCATCTGGAGACCTAATCTAAAAATATGTATTGGGTCTGGCTGAGATGGAGCTCATTTTCCCAGAGCAGCCCTCCCAGTGCTGAGCTTTGCATTGGTAGCTGGAGAGGTGCTGATGACAGCCCAGGGCTTTGGCCACTGCTGAGCAGCGCTGGCACTGCCTCCGTGCCCTCCCTCCAGCGTTTCACCCTCACCAGTAGGATGGGAGTGGGCAAAATCCTGTGAGGGGACACAGCCAGGACAGGTGACCCAAACTGACCAAAGGGGTGTTCTGTACCATATGAGGTCTGCTCAGCACTAAATGCTGAGAAAGGAGGAGGAAGAGGGGACAGGCATTAGTTATTCTAACATTTGTCTTCCTGGCCAACCACTACACATACTGAAGACTGGCTTCTCAAGATGTGTCTGGACATCTCCTGCTGATGGGAAGTACAGAATAAATCTTTTGTTTTCCCCTGCTTTCATGTGAAGCTTTTGCTTTACTGAACGGCCTTTATCTTGACATATGAATTTTTTTCTCTTATTTTCTCCCTGCCCTGGTCTGCAAAGGACGGAAGTGACAGAGCAGCCTGGTGGGCATCTGATGTCCAGCCAAGATCAACCACCATCGAAGTCAAGGAAAGTTTTCAACTAGGAAAAGTGGTTTTATTTAAGGAACCTAGAAAAAGTCTCCCAGCATCAAAACTTTTGCTCTAAATTCTGAAATCATCTTTTTTCTATTTGTCAATGTTTTAGCAGTACAAATGTACTCAAAACTACAAGAAAGTTCAACTCTTCTTTTAAACACAATATATAGGATATTCACCCCCCACCCCTTAAATTCAAGAGAATAGATTTCTTAATAAAAGCAATACTAAAATGTTCATACATTTCTCATACATTAGCCTCATGCAGTGCTGAGCAGTTCAGCCTCTTTGTACACCTAGTGGAATATCAGAGCTGTACTATACTATTTCTTGAGAGGACATTAAGTACTGCCTTGTCATTCAAATCTTACCAAGCCAACTGAGACAGCTTTAATGCCAAAAATGCGGTCTTGTTTCTTACATATTAAACTAATTTAAATACGTTGTGTGTTCTTGATTTTCTTGTAAGGC